GGTGGGGGGTTTACGTCCTGGTGGGACAACCCTCCTAGGCAGCCCTGCACCAAAATCCAGGGGCTTCCTCCTGCCATGTGCACCCCATGAGCAAGGTGCCACCCCACATGCAGCCAGCCCTCCCCAGACACCCTCAGAGGGGATCTAGGCATCAGGACTACCTGCTTCTTCATCCTCCTCTGGCAGCAGGTACTCCATCAGCTTCTCCAGCCCTCCCAGGGCTGTGTCGACCCCTGCGGCTGCCATCTGGCTCACTGAGTTCCTCCTCGTGTACCTTGCTGTCGTTTCCACCGTGCTCTTGGTGGCCTCGTAGCCCTCCGCTGCCAGCTCCATGATCTTATCCATGGAGTTACCAATGGTGCTTTTGGCACTTTGGAGCGGGGTGGAGATGCTGTCCTTCAGTTCGGACGCGAGCTGCAGGCAGAGAGATGGAGAACAGCCCTGCTAGTGTGCTTGGGGTGGCATGGAACAGCCAGAGGGACCACAGGGACCCCAGCCATGGCCATGCCAGTAGACAGCCTCGAGAGGGGCACAACAGCTCTCTCCCGCCTGGGCTGCAGTTAGCTGGCAGGGATGGGACATAGGACGCTGTTGACCTATATTTGGAGCACCCCAACCATCCCCTGGGCTACAGGAGCCCCTAGAGGAGTCCTTGCTTGGTGATGCTCCCCTGTTTCCCCCTGAGCAGCCCATCACCATCCAGAAACAAGACCAGAGGAGATGTGCTGTGGGCTCTGCAGAGGGGCTGGGGGGTCCCAGACTGTCCTGCTTGTGACTTACCTTGTCAACGGGGTACTGGAGGGCCGGGATCTTCTCCTCCAAGTGGTCCAAGCCCCGGCAAGCCAGGTTGTTAGCCACAGCGACTGCCTTAGGCAAAAGCATGGGGGTGGGTTAGTAAGAAAAGCTCCTGGGCTGTGCTAGGGGGTCTCACGTGCTAGTGCCACCGCTGTCCCACCAAGGGAGGCTCTGGTGCCTCCCCCCTACTCTGTCTCCCCCGGTGCATGGACTCACACTGAGGCTCCAGCCTGCGCACCACGGGCTCCATGCTCCGCACGGCCAAGGCGCTGGCACCCTGCACGCCCCGCTCGTAGACCTCGCACACCGAGGCCATGAGCGGGTGGGCCTCCTTGGTGCTGGTGTAGGTCCGCTGAAGGCTTTCGCAGGTCGAGCTCACCACCGGCAGCTGCAGGACCCTCTGCAGCACGTTCTCCTGCACCTGGCAGATGGGCACTGGTTAGCCAACAGCCATTCCCCGAGGAACGCCCCATCGCCCGCACGCCAGTGGCATTTGGTGTGTTGCAGTGACCACAGAGGACCTCAGCTCTCGCTGGAGGAGAAGGAGGGCATTTCTCGAACCCTGTTGAGGGTTTCCCAGCTATGTTGCGTACAGCACAGCCATGGACGAGCAGGCTGGCTGCTGCCACTGAAGGAGCAGGGACACCACAGGCAGTGTCAGAGGGGTGATGGTCCCCACCTCCCAAGCCCGACTGTCCAGGTGCTCCCTCTGGCTTTCCACTCTGCTCTGCTGCTTCTTCCATCTGACCCAGCCTTTGCTCCTGTCCTTGGACCAGCAAAGTCCATTTTGCCTATGTGGCACCTCTGTCCTGTCACCACTGTGACAGGTAAACGATATGGACCTCAAAAAGGAGAAGGGGAGAGGAGCAGATCTGTCCTTGATTTCACAAAGGGCTTTGGTAGGAGCCATTGAAGAAGGCGGCACCAGAGCTCTCCGAGGCAGCAAGGCACCCTGCTAGCACGGGTGACGTGGGATGCCAGTATAAACCAGCAGAGCCGACACCTGTGTGTGCTGCCAGTGCCAGAGCACGGCTGGAGGCAGGTCCCTCAAAGCTGGGTGAGCAGGATAAACCTGCAGCTCCAACCCTCCGCTCCTGCTCTTGCCTGCCGCCCACCTGGCGAGGTGAGACAACTGAGCGAGATGCTGCGCCTCAAGGGAGGAATGGGGCAAACGTTGGCTCATGACAGCAGCCATGAGGCAAGCGCCCTTTGGGTTGCACGGGTCAGAGCAGAAGAAAAAGCTGAGCTTTCCCCTGATCACCAGTGGGTGAGAGGCTGAGTTTGGCTTCATGTCCCACTTGTGACCATGACTGGACTGTGAATCTGCATGTTTGATAAAAACACTATTGTTTTGTGCTGTATTGTGCTAATTTTGGCTTGACATGGAGCCAGCCCTCTCACAAATCCTGCAGTTCAGCAATCCCGGGGGCTCTAGCTGCTCAGAGCAGTGCTGCATCCACAGCAGCGTGTCTGCTGGAGGTTTGGGGTCCACAGTGGGGACACAGACGAAGGACAGGCACGGCTGGCAGGTATCACTGAGGGCTCGCATCGCCCAGGGTTAACTTTCTTGATTCTGAACTATTTCATTTCAAGCACGCAAAAGGTTTTATCCTTTCCCTTTGATGACGGTCTATATTATTGCAGGTAAAGATCCATATAAAGATAACAGGGAGACACGTGGGACAGCATCAGATGTGACTCGTATTCATCCGGCAGAGCCGGTATGAGCTACCTGGTGCCCTTGGCACACCCCTGCCTTCCCCTCTCTCCCTCGTCCTGCACCCACCTTGGCACTTCCATTCTGCACAGCCTCATTCTTCTTCGCCGTCATCGCGATGCATCCACCTGCAAAGCAAAGTTGGGAGCCGCAGACCCTGCTGCAAAGGCAGGGCTGGGCTCGGGCTCCCCTCACTCACTCCTGCACCCCCCGAGCACGGCGGGGCCGGGAGCTGGGCTGAGACATGCACCTCCCATGGGGGCAATGGATGCAGCATTTCCTAACGCTTGACTTCTTACCAGTTAAGCTGTAAAAGCAATGACTCCACACAGCCCTCCCCTGCTAGTGTGTCTTAACACCCAAAGATGCAAATAATTAGCTGAGAGACACCTAGTTTGGAGGAGCCACAGTACAAGGCAGGATAAAGGGCATTGGCAGAGCTGTAGAGCAAACTCAGAGCAACCAGGACACTAATAGATGTGCATGGGGGCCAGGGTGAGAGATGCAGGCTTAGAGATGCAGGCTGAGAAGGGGTAAGAAGGCAGAACAGGAGCAGAGAGAGGAGCTGCGGGTCGGGATGCGGCGAGCTGCCCAGCAGTGGTCAGCATCCCCCTCCCACACATCTGCCCCGCAGCTCTGCCGCTGACGATGCCAGCGCCTGTCCCTGCACAGCCCCAGCTCGATGCGGGGGGCAAAAGCACTGCAAAACACCCGTCTCCTGGCTCCTGGCTGGGTGACACCCGAAAGCACACCTCCAGCTCCCACCCCCCGCACAGACCCCCTTTTCTCGGCAGCAGATGAAATTTAGGGAGTGTGGGGGATCCCTGCTTTCACCCTCCCCTGTCCCGCTGAAGCTGTCCCTGAGCGCCCGGTGGGGACAGGCTACTCACCGAGGGGCAGCCTGTCCCCAGCAGAGCAGGAGCAGAAGGTGGTGGCTGCACCGTCCCTTCGCCCGGGTCCTCTGAGAGTGATGCACCACGGTGCCCCAGCCACTACCACCACAAGGCCCCACCTCCCAGTTGCGTGGGCTTAGGAGCTGGCGGGTTGTGGTGGAAACTGGCCAAAGAGCTCCCTGAAGTCACCGTAATTGGGAACAGATGACAGCAGAAAATCCCCTTCGTCCTCTTCCCTGCAGAGCCCAGAAGCTGCGGCACAGTTGGTATGCACCAGGGCTTAATGCCGCTCCACCAAGAGAGGTGAAAAGAAGTCACCCTTGGACCTCACCACCTCAAAAGCAACAGATCATGAGCAGCCAGGGAGAAGGTGAAGAGCTAGGCAGGGTTTGTTATGGCCAATGGGGGGTTGATGAGTGTGGAAGAGATTAAAACCTTCCTGTATTTCTGTAGCCCCTGTTGTCCCCCATGGTGGACCAGGATCCTATCCTGTTGGGAAATACAACACAGACCAAGAACATAGTTTCTGCCCAGGAGAGTTCACTAAGCACAAGGAGCAGAGCATGGGGGACACATCCTGCACAAAACAATCTAGCTTGGCCAGGTCTTCAATTTCTAAAAGAATCTACTGAGGATTGTGGCGAGGAGGCTTTTAGCTGAGGGTCAGGGAAGACATTGCATTAGGAAAGCTCTAGGCATTTGGAGTAGACAGAAATGGAGGAAAAAATCAGGTTGGAAGTGATCTCTGGAAGTCACCTCATCCAACACTCGCTCAAAGCAGGGCTACCCTCAAAGCTAGATCAGGCTGCTCAAGGTCTCATCCAGTCAAGTCTCAAAAATCTCCAAGGATAAGATTCCCATCTCTCTGGGGCTCAGCTCCAGTGCTAACCACACTCATGATAAACCATTTTTTCCCCTTGTCCAACTGGAATTTCCTCTGTTGCAATTTCTGCCTGCCACCTCTTACCTTTGCTCTGTGCACCTCTGAGCAGAGTTTGTGCTCCAGCCTGTGCTGGTACAGCATGTGCTCCACGCCCCTAAACGTCTTACCCTCCTAACGATCCTCTGCTAGACTCTCTCCAGATCGTCAAGACCTCTCCTGTGCTGGTGGGGCCAGCACAAGACACAGCTCCCCACATGTAGCCTCACAAGTACTGCATGGAGAGGAACAACTGCTCCCCTTGACCCACCAGTGATGCTCCCGCTACTGCTGCTCTTTGGCAGCCAGCCTGCCTCGCCGCGTGGGAGGCACCCTGCCAACTCACATCATAATTAACAAATCCCTTTGCGGTATTGATTGAAAAGAAAGAAGACACCACCTGTATGAAGCTGCGATGGTTTTGGTTATTGGTTACGGAGATCAAGGATGAGCCACACTGAAGAGACGAGGAGAGCATGGTGGAAAGAGGACAAATGCAGAGGACAAAGCAATAACCCACGGGGATCAGTGCAGATGGGAGATCCAGGCAGCCTGCTGACACAAGGCTGCTGCGTGTCCCAACCCACCCGGCACAAGGCAGGGAGACCCTTGGCGTGCGGCTGGGATCCCCGTGCAGGACACGAAGGTGTGCGCCCAGTGCACCTGCACGGCTCCCTGCTCCTGGCTGTGCTGCTCCTACGTGGGGATGGGAGACTCCGCAGGGATGGGGGAAAGCCACGCATGGGAGGAAAACACCCCCTTTCCTCCCAAAGAGCCTGGAGTTTTCTTCCAGCCCAGGGCTCTGCGAAGCTCGCAGGCCTGCCTTGCTAGCTGGGTACGCAGGCATATGAACGTCCTGGGCTGCCTCCAGCTCGGTGGCGGCGCGATCCACTGCTCTCCAGACAGCTGGACAAAGGGCAGCAGCCTGCTCAAAAGTTTGCTCTCTTGGCACTGACACATTTTCCAGCCCTGCTGGCCTTGCTAAAAGTGCAGGGGGCATGCCAACCTTCTCTCTGCCTTGGCTGGAGTTGGGATCAACAGAGAGCACAGCCTTTGCCCTACCAACGCCTGCGCTCATCCCCTCCCCTTCCGCGGGGGCAGAGGCTGTGCCAGCCCCCGGCTCTGCAGTGCCAAGGTACGGCCACCTCCACCCCCTGCCGCTCCACCCCACACCAGAAATACATTCTGAGTTTCTGCAGGCAACATTGAGAGCTCACCGGATCAGCTGGGTGCAGGCAAGCGGAGTTTTACACCCTTGCCTCCGCAGTCTGCTCCACAGTCATTAATATACCACGATGAGGGGATGAGCCAGATCCCCAAAGACTTGCAAGGCATCTTTACACTTAGGTCTGGGAGGGGGCTGGAGAGGTAACTAATTTATTTCCATGCCCTATGGCAGGATCAGCACCCCCTAAACCACTGCTGGCAGATGTCTTCCCAGTTTCTTTTTAAGGACTGCCTTCCTGGGCAATCCATTTAGTCTTTTATTTTATTTACAGTTCAAAAAAAGTCACCTGTGTGACTTAATTCTCCTTTACTGCAATATAAAGATATTACCTCCTGGATGGATTTAGAGACCAATTTATTGCCTTCCTCTTGGCAGTCAACCTTAAAAGGTTGACTTAAAAGGTTCAAGGGCACTTGAAGACTTCCCACACCCTCCCGCAGTCACCTTTCCTTCTGTAGAACCGGTTCATTTGGTCCCTCCCCGGAGATGTTGGTTTTCAGACTTTCGATCATTCTTGCTGCTCACCTGGGAATCCCAAATGGCTCACGCATTTCTTGAAATATCATGCCAAGCATGGTCTTAACATTAGGAAGGCTTGTCTGTAAGCAGAGTAGAAGACACACTTTGCACATCTCACACAGATCGCTCTCCTGTTAACTCTTTCCATTATGAAATGCGTATGAGACCAGTAATTCAGAAGGAGAATCTTGCTAAAACATTGCTGAATGCAATGCTTTATACATTGTTCAGTAAGTGACATTTTGGAGCTTCCAAGTTCACAAAACTCTTCCTGCAGGGGATAGGAGCTAACAGTAAGCTCGGTTTGAATGGTTATCCCAGCTCCGTCCCTCCCCGTCTCAGATGGAGATGTTACCCTTCCCTCCCTGCCCTGCACAGGCATTTGTTGTTAAACAGCTGCGGCAATTTGTCCTAGGACACTAAGACCCATCCAAATGAAAGGTTGTTGATAAGATACTAAAATGCAGGTGCACCCCTTCCTTTCACCGTAGCTGTGCCTATGCTGGGCAGAAGGCTCCAGCTCTCTCCGCTGGTACTCAAGGGCAACTCAAAATGTCATTTTGCTTCAGGGCACGTCATATGCAGTTTTACCAGGTACTCCCATGTTTACTTCTTCATGTTTTTGCAACTGAAATGGGGATTGTCAATGAGTCTGACGCATCTGGCTGCCACCTTGCTACTGCAAAAGGACAGCTCTGTAACCCAAGAGCAAATACAGGCCATGTCTCTTTAACAGTATCATCCTTCATAAAATTCAGAGATGGGAGGCAGGATTCCTCCTTCAGCATCTCTTTTCCCCACGCTCTAAGTCACACACAGACACGGTGTCACACTCATCTCAGTTTATTGCTTGTGTTCAAACAGCTGTCCTAATTCCAGCTGCTGTATTAGAAACAGATACAAAAAAAAAGGCACTAAGGATTTTTGTCATTTGATCGTGATTCTATGGCTTCAGTCACATTACCTTAAAGTACATTAAATAGCTAGCCTCCGGCTGGGGAGCAGCAAGCAAGTATTAGTGCTTAACACCCAGTAAAGAGAGTTACTCCTGTATGCTCCAACCCGTGTCATGTAGAATGGGACAGGTAAGGCTGAGACAGACTGACAATTCACTGCCCCATCTCCCAGGTTAAGTCTGTACTTGCTAATCCACGCCAGTCCCTACAGGAGAAACATCAAAGCCTGGCTCATGGCTTCGCACAGTGTTTGTCTGGCACAAGGGAAAAAAGCACCCTTCTCCCTCGGCAGGGCACAGGGAGGAGCAGCAGGCTAGGGGCCACACCGCTCTGTCCATGTCCCTTTACCTGCGAACTACAAGGGAAAAAGAGAAATCAGTTTGCAAACCAGTAAAAGAAGTATTTTGTATCCACGAACTCCCCTGAGAGGAATTTAAAACACATTGTTTTTGCAAGAAGAATAAATTCTGTAGACAAAGGGTGGCCAAACCTCCGCTGCCAGATCATCAAGACTCCTCTTCCTTCCTTACAGGGATTGCTACACACAGGGATAAGGATGAAATCTGACCAAGGGAGGGATGGGCCCCGCATTGCCAGGA